GTGGGGGGGGGCCCCCCCCCCCCCCCGGCCTGGCGCATGCGCCTTGCTGGGGTTCGAGGCAGTAGGATGGAAGGTGCTGAGGGGCGCTATGGGATGAGCAACCCTCCCCCCTTAAAGGGCCAGGTGCCCTTTTCCAGGTGCCTGGGTTGGGACTCAGGTCCGTGCCCGAGGCTTCCAGCGCCCTTCTTCAAGCGGAGTGAGTGGGCGGCTGGGGCAGGACCTGGGAGAGCACAGGCAGCCCAGAGTTACCATATTTCCAGTTCCAAAATAGAAGACACATTGTGGGGTGGGGGGAGAGAGGGGGTATATGACTGTGGGGGGCAGGGCAATGATGTGCCTCTGTTCCTCACTCCCAGCTCCCTCTCCCTGCCAGCGCCCCTCACTCCCAAACTGCAGTACCCTGCCCCCCCGGTGCTACTGGTGCCCCTTGCTCCCCACCTACAACCCCCGGCTTTTCCCAGCCCTGTGGTTACAGGCACTGACCCTGGTGCTACCAGTCCAGCTATGCAGCTCCCTGTTTTCCTGAAGGGCCCTCCTGGCTGGAGGGGCAGGCACCTCTCCTACTCTGCTGCAGCCTTGAACACCCCACCCCCACAGTCCCCAAGCCCAGGTCCTCCATCCCCTGCCTCCCCACAGACTTACCTGTATCCAGCTGCCAGGCTGCTCCCACCCAGTGCCTGGCTACATACAACTGTGTCCACCCAGCCCCAAGCAGCTCCTTGCTAGGGCATGTTGGGAAGTGCTGGGGAAAACTTTGAAGCTGAGCAAAGCTAAATCCCAGACATTTGATCATATTTAAAAAAATTGACTGGACGGAGATCAGAGGATCTCAAAAGAGAACGTCTGGATGTATGGTAACCCTCCCCAGAGCTGCTCCCTGACTCCGGCCATCTTGGCTAAGCATTCCCTGGACTTCAGGGGCCTGGCTCTGCGTGCCCCCTATACATAGGTGGCAGAAGGCCGGATCTAACGGGATTTAACCTCCTGCAAACTAATTTTGCGGTGGCCAGCGGCAGCACCACTGCTGCAATGCTGTGCCCAGTGCCCTTGCCACACCCTCCACCACTTCCTTATGTACAGCACCAGTGCATACTGGCTCCCACAATGGCCCTGCAGGAGAGAGGAGCAGGGGTCAGGTCAGCATGCCCTGCACCACACAGCCCTCCCAAATAATATTTTCTTCTGCTTATGCCCCTACATAGCAGTTCCCAGGGCTCATGGCTTTAGGCTCCTAAAGTCCTAGAAGCACTTGCCTGGGTCTTCCCTATTTTCAGTGGCAGGCCTGCTGGGGTGGTGCAGTGGTATGGGTGCCACGACGGAAAGGGATCTGGGGAATCTCTAGGCAGGCCTCTCTGCAAGCTGGGAAACAGGTTATCCTGTTTGTAGAGGCAGGCGCTGAGTGTTGTCCTGCAGGATCAGGCCCATGCTGCTCATGTGATGGCTGATCTGGCTCATTGTGCAGCCCTGGGGGACCTTGAGGTCCTTTCCTGGGAGGTGTCATGCAGTGTGAGGACCATTACACCTGCAAATGGGATTCATAGGATCAACCCAGAGACTTCAAATAGAAATCCACAGCTGTGATCTTCCTGAGTTCTTTGCAACAGAAAAAGTGCTCAGTTATTTTTCTGTAGTCAGAAAGAAAAAAAAAAAAGTGAAAACTGAGACTTGACATTTTCCAAAGGGTGCCACAAAGCTATCCAGGGGTGCCTCAAAGTCTAAAAAAGATTTGAGAACTACTGCCTTAAGACATGCAGTTAGTCATGCAGCCTGTGTTAGCCCAGGGTAGAGCAGATAGGATGTTTCAACACAGTGCTGTGGAAAGAAATGACAGGACCCTGTGAATGGTAACCACATTAGTACATTTATAAGGTTTTGGGATGTTCTTGGTTTTTACAGTTCGGCTGGGGAGTATTCATAGACATTAACAGTCTTTACTGGTCTATGGTGGGTGGGTGTGTATTGGGGGTGAGGAGAATTAGGTGGGATGTTCAGCCTGTCTCCTCACTTTAACTTCTAGTATCTAGTGGATGGTCTCAACCAGCTGTTTTTATGTACTAGTCTGCCTATTCCAAATGGAGAGTGTAAGAAAGCAAAACTCATGAGAGTAATTTGTGCCACTGCAGACTCCTTGCAAGGCAGCACAAATGTTAACTGGTACAGGTTAACAAACCACTTTTAATTCAGCTGGAGGAAAAAGTTTGATTGTGCTCCAGTAAGACTGGCTTCAGATAGAACTACAGGATGGTCTATTTTGCTCCCAGAATATAACTAACCCTTAGCTGTAACGTAATTAAATTTAGGACAAGAGATGTCTTTTCAGAATCTGGTTACTCATAAATTTGTTTCCCTTGCATTTAAATAAAAATCTAGATCTTCATGCATCATAATGAAATAAAATTGAGTCTATTATTGGATCTTTTTCTTTTTGTGGATGACCTTTTAGTACTCAATGTAACAGTAAAATAGCCTTTTAATGTCACTGAGGGCATAGTAGCCAAAAAATTGTACCATATGCAGACACAATTACAACCAAGTCAAAGGGCCTGGTTTCACTCATTTGAATGAATAATAAAAACATGTTTCTCAATTTGATTCGAGTCCTGGATGTATCTAGGTCCTACTGATATTTTTAAGTAGCTCTTTCCCTATAGCTGTTTGGGAACTTTGTGCCAAAACAACTTAGAGAGGAAGAAAAATAGTAAACTGTGACTGAGAAGAAACTTGCTCCCCCTTTTGCTATTTAGTTTATGGAAGAAGCAAGGTTTTCTTTTTTTCCTAGAAACTAAAAGGGGAGTTTGAATTATACTTGCCAGAAGCCAAGAAGAGGGTTTCTGTGGAGGGTTTCTACACTGGTAGAAGTCTGTCAACTTTCTCCCTTAATTTTGTGGTGAGAAACTGGACACTTAGACTTCTTATATGAATTGGCATTTGTTTATTAGCTCAAGTTTGATTGTACTTAAATACATAGAACTATTGGTTTCTTTTCAGACTTCCAGTTCTACAGGAGTGTATTTATAATTGAAAGTTTTAATTGCTTTTTTATGTAGTCACATTTGGAGTAGCTAAATTATATATTAAGGAGCAAACTAGAGCATAAATCAAAGGTGTATTTTATTTAGTCACTGCCAGAAAGCTGACGCATCTCTTGTTTCTTTTTAGGGATGTCTTGCATTTTTCCTCCAGTTTAAAAGATGTCTACTTCTAGTATTGCAGCAAGAGTGCAAACCTGGCTTTCATCTACATGGCATGTTAAAGTTCCTGTGACATGGTTAGAAGCTTGCATTAACTGGATCCAGCAAGAAAGTGGCAGTGATAATTTATCACAAGCTCAAATAAACAAACAAGTGTTTGAGCAGTGGCTCCTTACGGATCTTAGAGATTTGGAATATCCTGTTTTGCCTGACAGTATCTTAGATGCTCCTAAAGGAGAACTCTCTGGCTTTTATTCCATACAGATTGATTCATTGGTTGATGTCAGCCAGCCTGCATATTCCCAATTGCAGAAGATAAGAGGGAAAAGCACCCTAAATGAAGAAGTAACAGCCAACAGTCAGGCATCCCAAAAGACCTGGGAAGCAAAGCCTACTCGAATGCTAATGCTGCAGCTAACTGATGGAATACATCAGATTCAGGGTATGGAATACCAACCAGTTCCTGTTCTCCATAGTGGTCTTCCTCCGGGTACAAAAATTATGGTGCAGGGTAACATTGCATATCATCTTGGAGTTCTCTTGCTTAAACCAGAAAATGTGAAATTGCTAGGGGGTGAAGTGGATGTTCTTCTACAGGAGTACAGTCAGGAAAGACTCCTTGCAAGATTGATTGGAGAAGCTGAGAATCCTAATCCTGTTGAACAACGTGATCGTGAACAAGTTACTGCAGGACCTATAGATAAGTTGGGCCAAGCTATAGGGCCTTCAGATGAAGAGCTTTTAGCAAGTCTTGATGAAAATGCATTTTCTGTAAATGTTGAGACAGCCTTAGAAAGTGGATATTGTAGTAGAAGTGACCATTCAAACACAACCACACATTCACTTACTTCAAGCAGTGGAAGCTGTTCACAACAAAGATTTGGGAACCCTTTGCCTGGGGCAAATAAAGAGCCAAGTGTTCTGGCTGTGAAGTATGTTGATGGAGGTTTAGATGACATTGCATTAGAGGAGGCTTTATTTTTAGAAGAAGAGATCCAACAAGAGCTAGAAGAAATTCAGAGAGTGCAGCCTCTGGTCAAAGACAGAAATGTATCTGTAATTACAGAACAACTTTCAAATATGCCTAGAACCTCATGCATTTCATCTTTAAATTGCATGCCTGAAAAAGATGGTAAAAATGAAAGGGTTTATAAACTTGCACAATGTACTAGGGAACATCAGTTTTTGGGGAGAGAATTATCTGTTGGAAGCAAAAGTAATACAAATAATTTCTCACTACAGCATAACGTACAGCAGACCCATAACTTTACAGATGATTTGTCATTGGAAAATCCTTTTGAACAGGAGGCTTTTAGAAAAGTGGACCTAGTCAAGAGTGTTCAGAAACCTCATAGCTTTTCTGATGACATACTTTTGACCAATGGACAAGTTAACTGTTCAAAAAATGAACCACAGCTTGAGAAGCAGGAGCACAATGTAGAAGCCTTTTCTTCCAAAGCAACAGAAAACTGTAGAGGTCTTGATTTACATTCTCCACCTTTTACGTATATTACTGTGCTCTTTGCAAATAAGCCAGAAACAGTTACAACTGTGAAACTTAAAGCCTTCATTGTAACCCTTACTGGAAATCTTACAAGCAACAATGGTTTCTGGAGTGTTCTGGCAAAAATTTCTGATGGTACTGCTTACCTAGAGGTAAATTTTGCTGATGAAATTCTAACCAGTTTGATTGGATTTTCAGTGCCTGAAATGAAGATGTTAAAGAAAGATCCTGCTTTACATCCAAAACTTAAGGATGGTTTACAGCGATGCCAAAGAGAACTAATAGATCTTTGCTGTTTGATGACTGTTGAGTTTAACCCCCATGAGTCAAAAGCAACAGTGTTATTTCTCCATGAAGTTGATGCAGTAGATCTAGAAAATTTGAAGAAACGTTTAAACAAATGATTTAGGGGATAACTCATATTTTCTAGGACTAAATTCTACAAGCCAAGGAATACTAAAGTGTTAGCTTAATTAAAAGCACAAGTAAAGTGACTTCTCCCTTCCCTCCCTTTACTTCAGAAAGGGGCAGGTAGAAAAATCTGGTGAGGGGGAGGTGAACAGAAATCCATGCCTTAGGATAAAGGTATTAACATTTAAAAATTCAAAACAAATTTGTTTGAAAGCTTGTTTCAGAAATTAAAAACAAATTTGCTTTGATCAACATGTTCTTGTATATACGTTATTTTTATTTTATAACTGACATTTTATGATCAAGGATCTAGAGGAACATGTCTTATTAGATTGGAAGCTGGTACCCAAATACAGAGAAGCTGATCCTTGCACTGTTTTTTTCAGTGGAGTTACATTAGAAGTGAGGTAGTTTCTGTGAGGTGTTGATACAGGGTATCACTATCCAGTTGAGGAAAGCAGGTGAGTACTTCATATTTTTTTTGCTTTAGTCACGTAGCAGTGGACCCTTTGGTAGATTTCTAATACCATTGTAATATCATCAGGTCAAAACCTGTAGGCTTTGAAATGCAAACAGATATTTAATGTCTGAGAACTTGAAAAGCAAGCATCAAAAATAAAATGAAGTAAACTTTCTTGTTCATATTGTCCAGGACAAGAAAAACAAGCAGTAACCAAATGGGATAACATTTATACCTATAAAAATGTCAAAGCATTTTAAAACATTTTAAACACAAAGGATGTCTGTAAAATAGGAAATGCAATTGGTTTAATGATTTTTAGCTTAATATTTCTGCTCAAAATAAATGAATCAAAATCCAACAGTATTAATATATAATTTCCTCTTTCTTTTCAGCATTTGCTCATTCTTTTTACTCATGTTTTTATATTCCTGACATGTTTAATATAAATGTGTTTATACTGTAGCTAGTATATATTTTTGTATTGCCTACAGATTAAAAAATAAAAGGCCAATTTCAAAATTTTTATATTTTTGAATGAATGAATCCAGATATTTCTGTTTTTCTTAACTGCTAATAGATTATACATCCCAAAGTTAAACAACAGATGTTTAAGTACTACTTAAGAGTTTTTTGGTGGGAGTTGTTAAGTTACCTTCAAAGGAAAAAGTGGACTTACAAACTTTATCGGATGCCTTATGTAAAAAAGGAGGTCTAGAAAGGTTTCTTTTTTTTCCTTTCGTGCAATCTGCAACTTTTTTATAGTAGCAGTTAGTTCTCTCTTGGCTAGTGGATTTTTGCAGTGTAGACCCCACTTTTATAATGGTGTAAATTAAGTGATTGAAAAGGAAGGGATTTTCAGTTGAACTATCAAAACTAATTTTTGTTTTGAGTGTTCTTAAACTGTCTAATGGCTAACATTTTTGAAAAAGGAAATATTATAAGAATTAGCAGCATGCAACCTCTGAATTTCTCACTTAAACTACAGAAGCCAAAGCTGATGTTTATAAAATAATGAGGAGGACAAAAGTTTTTTTTGTGGGCACAGGAATACCTTTTGAGACTTTTTATACACCTTTAAAGAGAACACGGAATAAGCCCGTCACTCCTATTACTCCCTCATCTTTTACTTTTTTTTTTCTTTCTTTCAGGGGCCTGATGGTAGAAATATAGATGTTTAATGGTTAGAGCTTCTGCACTGGGAAGAAGCTTTTGTTTCTCTGAAAGCAGCATTGATGGATCATTGATAACTAAAAAAAAATAAACTTGAAAAAAACTTTTAAAAGAAACTGACCAAATCTGTCATATGTTGCCTGAATAAAACAGCATTTTAAAAATGTAATAAAGCTAATTACAGGATGCTGTCTGCAATCAGTATTAAAAACAAATGTCTTTATGAGTTATCTTTCAAAAATATTTCTTCTGAAATGGATATTTCTTATAGAAATAATGTTATTTAAGCATTGTTTGCCTAATATTAAAGACTGTTCTACATTGACAAAAACTGAACTATAGTAAAAAAAAAAAAAAAGAGTCTTTGGGGATTTGCTGTATTATCTTTGTCTCAGCTGACCACATTACTTACCTTTACTTTTCTGAATCCTTGTTCAGTGTTCCCCCTTTTGCTCTAGTAAGATTGTAGTCTTTCTCCTTGTCTTCAAGACCCTGTATAACTCTCTGCTTATCTTCCTAGCCACACTTCTGTCTCTTCCCCATTGTCCACGTCTATTCTGCTGTACTACTAATGCCCTGTTTTTGTTCTTTCACTCACAAAATATCTTTATATTTCTACTTCCTTCTATGTTGATCTTCATAGATAGAATTTTGCTAAGTCAATCTCAAAGGCCACTACTTAAGTCTTTTCTGAACCTCTTTAGGCAGCCTTAAAAAATACTTCTGAATTTGAATAATAATGTTTTTGTTGTAAAATTGTTAGCGTATTTGACAGTGTATAGGTTGACATGGTGTATAGGTCAACCCCTGCCTTTCCAATCTGAAAGGTAAGGATTTTCATGGGCTCACAGGGAATGGGGCCACTCTGAGCGACACTGCCAAATGCTGAGTCCAGCGCTGATCAAAAGGATGAGGCCATGCAAGCCAAGTGCTGCCTGTGAGGGGCACTGGGCTTGGCGTTCGGCAGCTCTACTTGTAGCAGACAGGGCCAGGCTCAGTGTTCAGCTGATGCAGCCCCATTCCCTGTGAGTGGCTCTGGCACCACTGCTTGCAGGGGATGGGGCTGCCTGAGTAAAGCGCTGAGCCCAGTCCTGTCCCCAGTTTTTTAATGTGACACTCTATAAGTCAAGTTTGATATATTTTTTTTTTTTTAAGACACAAAAATTGGGCTTCAAAACCGGACTTACACACTGTGAAATACGGTAATTACCTGACTTCCATTATATGATTACATTTTCAACTCCAGTGAAATATAATTGTACCTAGTCTGATTTTTTTTTTTTTTAATTTAAAAGAATAGTAGAAGTGCAGTTGGAAATGAATGCAGTTTCAAGCAGCATATCAAAGAGAGAATAGCAGTTTTAGTTAGATACACCAAATTAGCTACTGAGAGCTACCTTTCATTTATTTGGGGGTATAATCATACAAATAGGTGATTTATCATGGAATAGCTTAAATACTGCAACTCCTTATCCTTGTTTATCTCACAATAACCTTTCCATATGCCCCTGCCCTGAAGTTGTTCTTTTTATCCAGTGGGTTTATCCACCACAAATGCAACCTGCATTGGGGAAGCTTAAGATTTTTACACTAACACTACACAAATTTACCCGATTTATGGACAATGACAAGTACTTCATACTTTCGCATAACAAAACTTTTCCTATGGGTTTAATCAAAGGAATGGGCTAACAACTTCTTGGGTAGGAACAAAGAAATCTTCCCACTGAGGACAAGGATAACAATGTCTGCAACAGTCTTTGTGGTTTATACCTAGTTTATTGTGGAGGAGTCAATGTAGCAATAGATCCCACTGTATCCCATCCAGAAGTTAAAAGAATTACATTGGGCAGAACACTTGATTCTAATAAACAGTGGCAAGTAAAGAGAACAAAGTAAAATCATGTGGAGTGCCATCAAGAAACTCCTTACAGTCTAGGTACTTCATTTAATTTCACTCATTACTATAAACATCAATCAATTAACTTGTTATGCTCATGTCCTTCTGCTTGTGCTTGATGCCATGATTGTATATGCTGATTAGTCATCGGCCATTGCATAACTACAGCGAACATTCATGTGTGCAGACTTTATTGTAATAGGTAGGACACATGCTTGTGTGCAATGAGTGTGGTTTCAGGTTTTGATTCTAGTAAACAAGATTTTAATAAGCATCAATAGATGCCTTCAGTAAAAGCTTTTGGCAATTGGCTTTTGGTTTTGATGCTGATGTGCAGCTGATTCTATTAAGCAAGATTTCAGTAACTAGCAGACCTTGCATCTGGTTTTTCCTGTTTGTACTGTGTCTGCTTTCTGTAGCTTCAGAGCAAATGGATGCATTTTGTCTGCATATGTATATTCAAATATTAAAGGCTAATTCTCACAGAATGTTTTCAAATGATTGGGGGGAAACTAAATGCATCCTTTCTTACTACTACATTGCATTAACTGGAGGTTTCCGCTGGGGTGACCTGCAGTGAAACATTTAACAATGTTGACACAAGTGATCAGGTATAAGCATAACAGCTTGTTAAGATAAATTGTGAAAGTTTGCTTGTCTCTGGTTTGTTTACCATTACTTTTGACTAACACAAGCAATTAGTTACTATTACAGAGATGGAGACTTTCATTTAAAATTAGTTTTAGAAAAGATCAAGATAAGGTGATGTACTAAGAGGAAACCTTTGAAGAAATTCACTTGTTTAGTTATATCACCCCCAGCAATGAAAACATTTACTACTAGATTGTAAAATTGTTGGCCTTATTTTGCAATATGATGAAACATCCAAATACCCATGTTAATAAAGAGTATCTTTTATCTCTATCTAGCCAGACGACTAGCCCAATCCTGTCAAATTCTGATCCGGTCAGAGCCAGTTTTATAATGGACCAACGCAACTATTGTAATTCACATGTCAAAATGAAGAGCAGTGTTTGAAACAAGTTACTAGTCCAGAATGCAACAGCGCATCTCAGTGCAAATTATTGGGACCATCATCTCATTTTATTGTTCCCTGTTAAGTAGACTTTTTCAAGGCTGTTTTGCTGTTATATATTTTCCTTTCCAAAGGCTTGATGGCATTGGCCTAAACAATCAGCACATTGACCTCTCATGATAGCTTAGTTACACTGGAAAAATTATGCTGTTGACACATGGGGAAGACTTCTATCTAAAGGAGAATTTTTGTAGGAATCAGACCAAGAATGTGGAACTTACTACAAGATCAAACAAGAAGGACAATTACCCTTGCTACACTCAGGATTAAATGGATGGGCTTTCTCTTTAATATAGCTCTCCTATAACAACATTCTCAACCATCTTCACCTTGAAAAAAATCCTATTGTTAACTTTATGTTTTGTTATGCAGTAGAGACAGAAGAGAGTAATATGTTTAAAAACTGGATCCAATGAACAGGATGTCTCTTCCAGTCCTGTATTTGTTGAATTCTGTATTTTGGTCATTATTGGTCTAACTGTGCTTTACCCTCTTATAGTACTTGGTAGCCGCATAAAAATCTATGCGGATAGAAAGTAGAAAGAGAAGGATTTAAAAGGTAAATCAAATGTGTTCCTTTTAGGATCCAGTTTCCTTTTCAGAACCTTAATAAAAAAACAGACTGCCCAAGGGAATCACTGTGAAGAAGTTAAAGAATAAAGAAAGTCTGTAGGTAATAGTGTCTAATTTCTAGCTGTTGTGTTGGACGTGAGGTAGATGTACATATAAGGATTTATAGCTGTTGTGTTTCTCTGTGACAGTCATGTTTTCCTATCCTTTGATTAACAGTTCTCACAGTGGATACGGACGTCACTGAATGAAGCGGGCCAGCTGCGCTATGATGTGGCACAGCACAGTTAACCCGTTTCACTGGGCAAAATGCATGTCACCCCTTGTCCTGTTCTTGATGATGCAGGGTTGATGTGATCTCCCCACTTTTCCTGCTCAGCCAGACTTGCTTCCTGGAACAGGTCTGGCAGAACAGAGAAAGTAGAGGGGCTTTCCCACCTATGGAGAGGCACCCTGAGATTCTCCGGGGTGCCGTGCCTTTCTGTAAGCAGGAAAAGTGGGCAGGTGTTCTGGGGATTTCAGAGGCTCTCAGGCCTACAGAGCACCTGCCTGGGGTGGTTGGAAAGTACAAGCAGCTCAGGCTGCTCATGCTCTCTCATGACAGTTATCAGATATCTGCTACAATAAAACAGCAGGCTGTTACTACCTTTTGTTGTGCGCTGATTTTCCTTGGAAGTGGCACAGTTAAGGGTGATAATTTCTATTGGCTCACAAGTAGTGTCTCTATAAAAATGTTATGTCAGCACAAATGAGACACTTTTCACCCTAGGTGTCTCAATCCTATTTGGGGTCAGAACATTTCTAAATAGTGTTGGGGCCCACCAGAGCTGTTACAATAAGTGGGTATGGACTGGAAGTGAGGTTGTCCCCCCCCAAAAAAAAAACTGCTGTAGGCATTTTTGGTAGTGTCAACCTGTTCTTGTGTTGGTCCAGGGAATATGAGAGATGCAAGAATTCTTGAGGGCGATCTCTTATTGGGCCAACCCTATGGTTGGGGTAGATGTACGCAGACTTTTGGATATCATTCTACGTTGTTCTCAAGGGTACTGTGATACCTGAAAGCCTTGCCTATGTTTATCCCAAAAATGTGGTTGGTACAATAAAATATTACATACAAGAATTCTTGCCGTTGGCATTCTTTTAACATTTCCCCCTGTTTCTAGAGCCCAAAAGTTCTACCTACTGGTATATGCAGTCAGGATATTTTTATCTTAAGTCTGTTCATTGGCATAGAATCAGAAACATACTGTAGAACTAGACAGGTCCTCAGTACTCTTCACCCTGCTCTAACATAGAATTAAGGATACAGCACTCATCTGTGCTGCTCTTGAACATCTTTGATGATGGGGATTCTATAACCTCTGTAATTTCACCTGTTTCATGGCTTGCTTGTTATGATACTACACTTTCTTGCACATAATATGTTTCCAAGTAAAATATGCTCCTTGTTTTTGGAAGTAGAAGGGAAAAATTTTTCCTTCCTTCTGCAGCAGGAACTTCCGGTGAGGGAAAAGAGAGAGTGGCCATAGCCTGCAGTTAAGGCACACCATGTGCAACACTAGTGTTATTTTAGTTTAGTTCCTCTCCACCCCCCACTGCAGAGGCAGAAACTGGTATTATCTTATTTCTTTACTTACAATGCACACCCACATTTCTAATAGCTGAATTTTGGGGGGAAAGGCCATGTCTTTTGTGCAAGATAAAACAAAAAGGGTTTTTTGTTTGTTTGTTTTTAAAACCCAGGCAATATCTAACTTTCTCCAAATTATACAGTTACTTTCTGAACCATTCT